CTCACAAATGCTGGTGAGAGTTTAAACTGAGACATTTGTCTGTGTGAATACGGTTTACTCTACGCTGTAGGCTTTATGCACATGCCAACCTTCACATAAAGACATTTGTTTTGTTCAGAAACTGGTTGTATTGCACTCTGTGATGCTGGTGGACCAGTGTAGGCGCTAAAATGTGGAAAAAATGTGATTGATAATTCCGAGGGTACAGTATGTTTATTTCCCTCTTGGCTGTTTTGTTAATAATGTTGTTACTGTAAGCACAGTATTACAAACAACAACAAAAAATAACTTGTGCCAGCACCCTCCTGATATGTTTGACCCACTAGCCAGCCCTGGGCTTGGGGTTTGCAGAGCTGTAATTCAGTTTTTTTTGTTGTCTTATTATACCCCCACTAAAGTACAATGCTTTTCTGTTATGTTGTTTTTGTTCAGACATCCTTAAAAATTTGGGGTTTAAATAGTCTTGAATCATTTTACCTCTAACATCCGATTAGACTTTGTCATAAATACATTATCCACAGACAGGTTCATTGAGATAAAATACTTTCATTTAATATCCATTTTGGATGTGTTTCTATCAGGATCTACCAGCATCCACCAGACTCTCCTGAACCCAGCTGTGTTTCCATGAAGTGTGGCCACTCAATGGATCAACCTGTTGTCTTCAAAAACAAGAGCCAGTTCACTGATGAAGAGTAAGAACACAATCCTGACAGACAGCAGTGGTGATTAGCTCCTGATAGCATCCGACAGACCAGGACCTCAGGGTGTTGGGGGATATAGAGCAACATGTCTGCTTCAGGGCAGCTCCAACTGCAGCCTAACATCTTGGAGCCTGATATCACAGGACTGCTTCAGGGGGCTCATAGACACCAGACCTCAGAGACTGTTTTAGTGGCACAAGATGAACCATCATTGTATTGGGCATGGGGTGGTCATGTTCTGGCTCATCGGCCTACATGACAGCTGCCATGCCAAGAGCTGCCAATGTGCTTGCCTGCCATCGGGGGTAACTTTGCATTCAGAGTCTTGCCAAAGGATGCCTCTTCACGCAGGGGGACCAGGGATCAAACTGCCAATGTTAAAACAAGTGGACAAACCACTCTACCACCTGAGCCATAGCTGCCCATAGTGACAGAACTATCTTCTTCAACAGGGGCCTCACCGGTAGTCAATGTCCCCAGGGAAACAGGGAAACCCACATTCTGTGTAGATTACAAAAAGCCAAATACCAAGACTCACATTGATGCCTTTTCCAGCCCTACCATCCAGGAAATCACAAGGCCCATGGAAATGGTGTTTAGAGAACTTAAGGGATACACTTGCTTTGAGTACCTGGATGATATAAGCATCTAGTCCCACCCCTGGAGGCACCTTTACAAGGACATCCAAGCGATGATGGATGAGGTCAGACAGGCAGGCCTTACAGTAAATGTGAAGAAAAGTAAATTCTTCCGTACATCTTCAAAAAGGATTTCAGGTCGATCCTGAGAAAACTCAAGCTGTTCAAACTGTTCATCAACAGGAAGTCCCTTAAGAAATTTCTGGGCATGGCTGGATGGCACTGTCATTTTGTACCAAATTTCTCCGAAGTTGCAGAGCCTCTCAATGCCCTGAAAAGAAAGGCAGTTCAGTTCTGTTGGTCACCTGAATGCCAGACTGCCTTTGACACTTTGAAAAAGCATCTGGTGAATCCTCCTGTTTTGGGACATCCAAACATCAACTTTCCATTTTGATTGCTGCTAGTGAAGTAGGCCTTGGTGCTGTACTGGTTCAGCATGCAGGACTTGGGAATGAGAAAATCCTGGCTTGTGGTAGTTGTACTCTGAACGCAGCTGAAAAAACATTCAGCCAAAGAGCTGGAATGTCTGGCCATGTTATGGGCATTGGAAAAGTGACGCTTTTACCTGGAGGGAACCATCCCCTTGGTGAAGAGATTCTTTAATTGTTTATGGTATTTAGAACCAAAGAAGCTGAAGAAGAACCACTTAAAACCCATGTTTTTCTGAGAGTGGAGTGCTTTATGTCTATAGCTGATGACCAGCAAACATAAGTGTAGGACATCATTCTGATGGACTTTCTACCTCCAAAAATGCCACCTAAAGAAGACAGCCTCTACAGACCAGAAGGCCACTACAATCCAGCACTTACATACTAATTAATTTAAGTTCTTCCTTTAAAATGTTGTTAATAATGAATGTAGACTGTATTTTTATTTTCACCTTCTTTTCACCTTATTATGACAGTCAGCTTCTTTGTGTCTGCTTTCTCAACAGTGGACGTTCTACCCAGCAACACCAAACAGACCTGGACGCGATATTTCTGGTGTGTAAATGTAAAATTACAGGAACTGCTGCTCACTTCAACCATCACAAAATAAAAATTAAAGCACTTTTATCGAACTGACATGACAATGCTACTCACAATCACACATACATACCGATTGTTTGGAAGAAAAATTTAGAAAGGCTCTGATCTGACCAGTGTGAGCTTGGTGTTCTGCCCAGTGACAGTTTGACTCTTGGCGAGAAAGAGTCCAGGACTGAACAGCTGATTAGTGAACAAAATGCTGAGCCACCACCACCCAGCAGGCATTCAGTCTGACACACATTATTCAATTATCTATACACATACTTAATCCTGTGTAGGGTCATGGGGGGCTGGAGTCTATCCCAGCTGACTCCGGGTGAAGGCAGGGGACACCCTGGACAGGTCACCAGTCCATCACAGGGCCACATAGAGAGACAGACAACCAAGCACACTCACATTCACACCTATGGACAATTTAGAATCACTAATTAACCTCAGCATGTTTTTGGACTGTGGGAGGAAGCTGGAGAACCCGGAGAGAACCCACACAGACACAGGGAGAACATGCAAACTCCACTCAGAAAGACCCCAGGGAGCCCTTATTCAATGATGTCTTCTGTTTTTGTCAACACAAGTTTAAATGTTTTGTTCCAGCTGCTGGAGGAGAACATCATCAGTTTCGTGAAGAATGAGCTGAAGAAGATCCAGAAGGTTCTGAGTCCAGATTACCCAGAATGCTTAGAGAGTCAGGAGGAGGAGGAGGAGGTGTTGGAGGGTGAAGATGAAGATCAGAGGAGGAGCAGCAGAGACTCATTTCTGAAGATCACTCTGCACTTTCTGAGGAGAATGAAGCAGGAGGAGCTGGCTGACCGTCTGCAGAGCAGTAAGAGGATTTTAACAGCTTTAACATGACGGAGTGAACAAACAGAAACCACATAGGAGCTTTACATTTTCAAATTTGGACAAATTTAAGACAAATTTCAAACCAATTAATTAGTAGGAGTTACTGTGTATTCATGTCAGATGTGGGTATATCTCCTTGTAACAAGCATGACTCTGACGTGGACAACTCATCGAAGAATTGACCCTGACAAAGTACAGTCAGGTGTTTCTCATCAACATTCAAATTTCCTTTACCTTCTACAGAATTTTTAATTTGTGTTCACTTAGGAATCAGCTCCACTGTGTGCCAATGGGCACTGAAATCAACCCTGAAGAAGAAGTTCCAGTGTGTGTTTGAGGGGATCGCGAAAGCAAGAACCTCAGCCCTTCTGAATCAGATCTACACAGATCTCTACATCACAGAGGGAGGGACTGCATTGGTCAGTGATGAACATGAGGTGAGACGGATTGAAACAGCATCCAGAAAACCAGACAGAACAGAAACAACCATCAGACAAGGGGACATCTTTAAAGGCTCACTTGGAAGACATGAACCAATCAGAACAGTGATGACAAAGGGAGTGGCTGGCATTGGGAAAACTGTCTTAACACAGAAGTTCACTCTGGACTGGGCTGAAAGCAAAACCAACCAGGACATCCACTTCACATTTCCATTCACTTTCAGAGAGCTCAATGTGCTGAAAGAGAAAAAGTACAGTTTGGTGGAACTTGTTCATCACTTCTTCACTGAAACCAAAGAAGCAGGAATCTGCAGCTTTCAACACCTCCAGGTTCTGTTCATCTTTGACGGTCTGGATGAGTGTCGACTTCCTCTGGACTTCCACAACAATGAGATCCTGACTGATGTTACAGAGTCCACCTCAGTGGATGTGCTGCTGACAAACCTCATCAGGGGGAAACTGCTTCCCTCTGCTCGCCTCTGGATAACCACACGACCTGCAGCAGCCAAT